TTGATGCAGGAGCATAATATTCTTGATACCTCGCCTTACACAAACAAACTTTAATTGTTTCTGAACAAGATTATAGGAGGAATTTCTTCAGATCTTAGCACAAAAATTTAAAACAAAACATGTGTAGGACCACATTTGGTATAACTTTTGAAAGGAAGGCATAAAAATTGTTAGATCAAAATTATGAAACAAACTGAAATTGTTCTGAACACAACCTTAAGAAGAATTTCTTCAGATCATGGCTGACATGTAAAAAAATATTACAAACCATGTGAACTTCAATCCGATAAAGCAGCCTTCAAAATTCCATGATAATGAAAAGGTTAACAATTTAATTAATTTTAAAGGTCAACTTGCAGCTATCTGATAATTATATTGACTAAAATAACAACCTTATTAATTTCAAGCTTGATAGGGAATATTAAAGGGGCTAGCCCATTCTGTCAATGTGATTGTTGAATGGTGTTTTACAAATTGACAACAATATTGCCCGAGTGTACACAAAAATAAATGCGAAAATTAAGAATTCTTAGCTTGAGACAAGAAAAATTATAAAAAAATGCAAATATATTAAAGGGGCTAGCCCATTCTGTCAATGGAATTGTTGAAGGGTGTTTACAAATAATTGTCAGATTGACAATAATATTGTCCGAGTGTACACAAAAATAAATGCGAAAATTAAGAATTCTTAGCTTGAGACAAGAAAAATTATAAAAAAATGTAAATATATTAAAGGGGCTAGCCCATTCTGTCAATGGAATTGTTGAAGGGTGTTTACAAATAATTGTCAGATTGACAATAATATTGTCCGAGTGTACACAAAAATAAATGTGAAAATTTATAATTCTTAACTTGAGACAAGAAAAATTCTAAAAAATGTAAAAAAAAACTGCAAATATATTAAAGGAACTAGCCCATATTGTCAATGGTATTGTTGTAGAGTGTTCGCAAGTTCTTTGTCAACAAACTGACAGTGTGTCAACAATATTTTCCATATTTTGTGCATGTGTAATGAGAATTCTTAACTTGTGCCTTTGAAAAATTGTAAACAAAACTCCTCAAAACTTTGAATAGCAGTAAACCAAATTGTCAACACTTGGGAAATTCTTAACTTGGGACAAGAGAAATTGTAAACATAAACAAACAATGTAAACAAAACTGTCAAACTTGAGAATTTAAACTTGGGACAAGCAGAATTTTAAACAAGGATGAAAAAAAAATGCAAAATATTGAAAACAGTAAACAAAACTTGAGAATTCTTAGCTTGAGACAAAAATATTGTAAACAAAAACAAAAGGGCAAAATATTAATTAGCACAAAGCAAAAAAAATGAGAATTCTTAGCTTGGGACAAGAGAAATTGTAAACAATGTAAACAAAAATCGTCAAATGTTGACAATTCTTAATTTGGGACAAGAAGAATTGACAACAAAATATTAATTAGCACAAAGCGAAAAAAATGAGAATTCTTAGCTTGGGACAAGAGAAATTGTAAACAAAACAAACAAACAATGTCAACAAAAATGTCAACCTGGAGAATTCTTAGTCTGGGACAAGAGAAATTGATAACAAAATAACAAATAGCACAAAGTAATAAAAACAACATTAATTTTTCTGAGCAAGGACAAAAACTATTAACAATTGAAACAACATACTTATAAAGAAACAACACAACACAACACAACACAACACAATACAACACAACACAACACAACACATATCATATATATATAGAGCATTTCACAATCAACACATGATTTCAAACCCATGATTTTGTCATCTTTTTATTGACATAGGCATAGGGAGAGGAAAAAGTTAAAAACTATTACAAATTTCTACCGTGTTTCACTTTAGCAGATAAGAGCAGTAGCAATGTCTCATCAACACGTTAAAAACTATTACAAATTTCTACCATATTTCACTTTAGCAGATAGGAGCAGGAACACTGTCTATTAGACACGTTAAAAACTATTACAAATTTCTACCGTGTTTCACTTTAGCAGATAGGAGCAGTTTCACTTTAGCAGTAGCAATGTCTCTTCAACATATCAGAAACTTTTACATATTACTACCGTGTTTCACTTCATAATAAGTGTAATAAATATTCACAATGTCACATGATTTTCTACCTGACCAATCTAAGAGACTTTGCAATTAATGACATCATCAAACACTTAATTCTAATGGAATTGCAGGAACCACAGTCGTCTGATTGAAAATAAGAATGGTGTAAATTGATGCTATCAGTGTCTCTGATAAACATAAAAAATTTAGATAACCTCTTTACAATTCCCTTAAGAATTGTGCTCTCTAATCTAAAATGCTTCAAAAAATACATTGAACGAACACTGAACAAACATTGAACAAACATTGAACGAACACTGAACAAACATTGAACGAACATTGAACAAACACTGAACAAACACTGAACAAACACTGAACACTTAAATAGCAGTTAATAATATTTGGCACTTATTTATCAAGTTATGAACACAAATATCATCTAGATTACTGAAAGGTAGTTCGAGTCCTCCACTTATAAACCTTTGATCCAACTAGCCAATGTATTTATCATCACACATGCAGTGTGCAACAAGGGAAATTTCAACAAGAATTCTTGTTCAATTTCCAACTGTTGAGCGATCCTTTACGGGCACAGCCTGTAGCTCATGATCAGTTGAGAGCGAAATCTTAAACTAATCATATTCAAGGACTAGAATATCAGATCAATAGATCAAGGGTTTCATTTAAAAAACTCAAACTACCTTGCAAAAGCCAGATGTACAAATAAAAGCATTAAGTGAAAAAAGAATAATACTTGTGACCTCTTGTGTCGGTTTAAAAAAACCCATCATAATTAGAAAAAAAATAGACATCTGATTGGCTAATCTTATATTTTTGAACTTATTTCAACCAATCAAATTTGGTTGAACTTTTTACAGGGACAGATGCATCATTTTCAGGGGTTGATTTGGGTCTATTTCTATATATGACAGTGTCTCAAGAAAAGACAAGTCGTCATTTTAACTTTCAAACACAAATAATTCTGGACACAGATGGATTTGAAGGCTCAAATTTTGACAGTGAGCTGTGAACACTATTATTACTGATTAGCTTAGCTAAAAAATTCCTGTTTCTGAGACTTAGGTATGATTGGTCAAAAAATGGCACATCTGTCCCTTATGGCTTTCTAATAAGGATTTGTAGCCAAAATACTTTTGGTATATATTGAATATAAAAGAAAATGGTACAAAATTTACGTTCAAATCTGACCACATTTTCTGAATTTGGTTTCTGAGATTCTGTTTCACATTTTTTTGGGAGACTAGAATAAGCATTTAGACTAAAACTTAAAGGCTGCAACTTTTGGAGCAAAAAAGCAAGAGCCATTTTTTGGAACTACAACCTTTGGAATTCTGTAACTATAGTGAAAAAACATTTGATTCTTTATTCCAATCAAATGATGAATTAACCAATCAAATGATGAATTAACCAATCAAATGATGTATTAACCAATCAAATGATGTATTGACCAATCAAATGATGTATTAACTAATCAAATGATGTATTGACCAATCAAATGATGTATAGACCAATCAAATGATCAATCAATTAAATGAACAATCAATTCATCAAATGATGAATCAATCAATCAATCAAATGATGAATCAATCAATCAAATGATGAATAAATAAATCAAATGATGAGTTAGTCCATCAAATGATGAATAAATAAATCAAATGATGACTATAAAAATCAAATGATGACTTAGTCAATCAAATGATGAGTTAGCCAATCAAATGACTTAGTCAATCAGATGATAAATCAATCAAATGATGCATCAATCAAATAATAAATCAATCAAATGATGAATCAATCAAATGATGAATCAATAATCAAATGACCAACCCAATAAGCAATCAATCAAATGACCAAACAATCAATCAATCAAGAAGAATTCTTCATCTAAGAAAGCTCTGTCATTTTTCACTTCTTGTTCTTTGTCAACATCTTTATCTTTGGTAGAGAAATTATCTGTGGGAAATGTCTCAGACCGCGTTCTGGAAAATATAAATATAACTGAAAAATATCCAATGATTTCAAGTGAGAAATATATGCAGTCACTACAATTGGTCCTGAGAAAACTGTTTAACATGGGACGATTATTTTGGCGCTTGGCGAATTTTGATTTCAACTGCCATCGAATATCAATGATGACATTATCGCTGTTTTGACGTCATTGTCTACAGTGAGAAAATGGTGGCTTTCAACAAAGTTCTGATAATAAGACAATTTATATTTGCTATTTCCTTTCGAATCAGAATCATTTGTAAAGTTATTTGGACTGATAAGTCAGCTTATGTCATTCTCCGCCATCTTTGACGTGATATGATGCTGACATTGTTAACCAATGTTCTTGCATCTGATTGGATAAGCTATATACGCGATACATTTTTTTGCTGCAATTTTTAGTATTTTTTATGAATAGGCATACGCAAAAATGTATGAAAAAAATCGCTTTGAGCAACAAAAATCGTTCCTTAAAAAACAGCATATACAGATTAAAAAAAAAACTTTGTGCAATCCCTTTAAATCTGTTTTCAGACTATTGGCGCATTTACTCTACACTTATATTGTTCTGTGCCATACTCAGTCTGGAAGGAAACTAACTTTTTGCAGGAATCAGCCCACTTAAAATAGCACTGTGCCGTGCCCTCTCAACCTTTTTACACTGCCATTTTTTTCTGCCGAACTGTACTCGGTTCAGAAGTGACCTGGATATTTTTTGGCAGTCTAAATGCGACTCATGATATAAATATTTCTGCCACGTTAATTTCAAGGCTTCAAGGTGAGTTTCTGTTGAAATTGCAGGAGAACTATGTGTCAAATGTTCATTTTGAAAATCGCTATAGATAGCAGAAATTGGGTTCTATTCAGACCTATGCAAATTAGTGCATACACAAAAATCATTTACAAAAAAGGTGAAAAAACAAAAGCCATTTACTTTAATTGGGTGATATTGGGCCAATAAATATGCTGATCACCAAAACTGAAGGATTCGTCCCCTATCAGCTGTCGAGCCCAGGACTGGTTGTTATATGGTGGCTGCATCCCACCAAGTTCAGCTGGAAGAACTTCTTTACTAATATGTTGATGTAGAGTTGTTAGATTTATACCATGCATAACAATCTGTGGATTGAAATGAAATTGAAATGAAATTGAATTGAAATAGAATTGAAATAGAATTGAAAAGAAATGAAATGGAAAATAAATGGAAATGAAATGCAAAAAAGAAAAGAAAAAAGAATTGAAAATGAAATGAAATTGAAATGAAATTGAAATGAAATTGATATGGAAAAAAGAAAAGAAATGAAATGGAAAAAAGAAAAGAAAAATGAAATGAAAATGAAATGAAATGGAAATGAAATTGAAATAAACTTGAAATCTATTGGAAATATTTTCTTATATTAGGCTAACGAAGAGGGCACAAGGGCAGTGCCATGCAGTAAGCAATGAGGGAAATTTTGCCAAGACAGCAGCATTAGCTTATTCCGTTTTTCTATTTCCATCTGTTTGGGATCTGTACCAGGCACTTGCACTTGCTTATCCAAAACATGCGTTGACAGAAGATTTAAGCTTGAGTCAATTAGAAGACTACAGTACAACCATAACATAACTGAAGTGAATTTTACCTTATTTCTATTTTTCTCTTTTAAAAAGGGACGCAGTAATTTAAAGATGGCCTCTATATACCAGGGCTGGTTGACAAAATGAATGGCGGCAAACCGGGCTGGAAAACAATCCTACAAAAATAAAAAAACACATGTAAATTCTTCACCAATACAATGTAAATTGTAATAATATTTCAGGGCCTTTTGGATAACAATGTCATCAAACACTTAGTTTTAGTGGAATTGCAGGAACCACAGACATCTGATTGAAAATTAGAATGATGTAAATTGATGCTATCAGTGTCCCTGATACACATAAAAAATTTAGAAAACCTCTTTACAATCTCTTTTAAAAGCCTTTGAAATAGTAACCCAATAAACTCATTAGTTTTAGTGGAATTGCAGGACCAACAGAGGTCTGACTGATAATTGGAATAGTGCAAATCGATAAAATGGTGTTTCAGATAAAAGGCTTCTGATAAGAAGATGGCTCAAATTGCCAAGATGAGCTGTGAACACTATTAATCATTGGCTAAGCTGAAAAATTCCTGTTACTGAGACTAAGGTATGATTGACCCCCAAAAATGGTGAACTATGACCTTTTACACTAAAACACCAACCTGAAGACCTTCAATCATGAGTTTTATTACTGAGACTAAGGTATGATTGACCCCAGAAAAATGTGAACTATGACCTTTAACATTAAGAGACAGTAAGCCACCTGAAGACCTTCAATCATGAGTTTTAACACTTTAGGATTCAACCAAGTGGACTGTTTAAAGGTAAACTGACTCCAATCCACTACGACTGTAATTCCATTAATCTGAACCTCTTCCTCATCAATAAGTTTTTCTAACGTTAACAGAATTGCACGGTAAATGGCGGCAAGACCGTAGCGAGAATTATCCCAATTGGCGGCATACAACAACAGAATTCTTCGTCCACGATAATCACAATTTGGTAGCACTCCTGGAAGACCATCATTCAGCGCTTCCTTCACACCTTTTTCCGACGCCTGGAATCCTTTGAATAAGTTTTTGTTATTTTGTCGGTATTCAAAATATCTGGCGTAAAGTTTGAACGTTTCTTCCGTGTTGAATTTCCGTGCACGTAAAAATCTCAAAATAAACACATCGTCTTGTCTCAAAAAATCTGAAAAAGAAATGGACAAAACTAAAAAACGCCATACAGTGTGCAATGAGGAACATTTTGCTAGGACAGTGGCATTAACCTTGCCCTTTTTTTTTTAAATTGTTAGCTTAAATACCTTGACCATATAATTTTGTTGACAGCCTCTTTCCGTTTTGCTATCCCATAATATTTCATTCAGATTCTACATGACACGCTTTGATTGGTCAAAAATAACTTCATAAGCTTGTTAGATTACAATTAAGACTATAAATGTCAGAAACAAAATTGTGATCTAGTTTTTTTTAAATAGATCACACTTTGTGAAATGGGGTTTTCTGCATTGGATTTGACTAATGAAGACTGGAAATGGTCTGCAGTGTGCAATGAGGGAAATTTTGCTAGCCTGCTCTCTTTTGATTTCCAACTGTCGAGGGATCTACAACGTGCACAACCTGTAGCACACGGGGCCTTGGGTTTATTGTCCCATCCGAATGACTAGACGGTTTTTCTATGTCAGTCCCTCCAACCTGCATCACTGACAGGGGAAACCAGCTTGAAAAATCCGAAGGTATTATCTCGACCTATGTCGGAATTGAATCCTGGACCATCAAGTTAGTGACATGGCCACTAACTCACCTGTGGCCCCATAGATATACTTACTGATATCAGGTCTGGTTTCCATCTGATCTCTGACCTCATCAATGGCCAGCACTCTTCTGTCAGCTATTTCATTCAACTCATCTCTTGCCTTCCGAATTAGCTTTTCTGACAAACCCCATCCATATTCTGCCATCTTGGATTTTGAAAACAGTCAGTTTTTTTTAAAGAGCTTTTAAAGCTTTTATTTTTCATATATCACATGATGAATCTTGGTCTTCTGAAAAAAAAAATTGATATGTGTGGATATAAAAGCAAGGACTGTACTTCTTACTGTGCACAATTGTGGAAACTTTGCAGAACCAGGGGCTGTAACTCTTTTTTCACTGATTAAAAATTCTGAAAGAACACATCTGTGGAATTTTTATACAAGCAAGGGCTGTAACTCTCTGACTGATTAAAGGAATCTTACTGTGCACATCAGTGGAAATTTCATATGAATAAGCAAGGGCTGTAAGTCTTGTTATCTGTTATACAATTCTCCAGTAAAGGGGTGTTACTGTATTGAAATAGGCCTAACTGTGTTATCAAGGAAGGACCATTTCCGTCATCTGACTCATATCCTTTTCATAGACCAAGATGGTATAGCCTAAATTCTGACTTTAGCCACAGTTTGTAGTCAAATCTAAATATGTCCAAAGCCAAGATACTCACAGTGACCGTTGCCTAAGCTGGATACTATCCTATTTTCGTACGTAAATTATGCTACCTGACATTGACAAAACAAAAGTGCCATGCGTATGAGGAGGGTGAGACAGTTCCATGAAGGCATGAGACAGATTTATTCCATGTACCATAGACTGGCTAGGCCTGGTACCGTCACTGGCACTGTCTTGGACACTAAGTCTAGACGTATACTTGCAGGAATAGGCCTAAGAATTTCTAAAATCAAAACAAAAACATTGGAAGTTTTGGACTGCATTTCTATTCTACCAACGTATAAATTATAAATTAATGTCAAAATACCTTAGAGAATGGAAATCCCTTGCAAAATCGACGCTTGCATCAAAAACCTCGTGTCAATCTCGAAAAATACGCGATCTTTAAATGCTTACTTCATACTTTGTGATTGTAACGGGACTCCATGATGCACGCGCACTGACCGGGGGAATTCCGTTAAATTCTGGAATTCGTCTGCTTCGGCAAAACATTTCGGCCTCAAAACGCGAATGTCGAAAGTTATGCAAAAACTGAATTAATTTGGGTGTTTTTGATATAGAATTAGTTCAGGATATGGAATGTTTTTCGCAGACGTCTGATTCCAAAGCTGGCAGTAAGAACTTCTCCTGTTGCATGACGTCATTGTGGTTAATTCATGGGACCGCTGTTCTAAAAATAGACTGGATAGTACTCTCGTTTTACAGGTCTCAGACCATTACAGTAGACTTGAACGTCAGGCCTCTGATTTGCTCTTTGAGCTTTAAGGGAACTTTGTCCCTCCCTCCCTCATTTTAAGAGGCCCTGCCCCATCCATTCATTTTAACAACCCCATCCACTCTCTCATTTTCTCTTCAGGGCAAAGATGCAGGGGTTAGGGGGTCAACTATTTGATTCCAGTACCCTGTGGTCATTCTGGGGTGCCAAAACAATGGAAATGCTCTTGCTAAATTTCCCTCATTGCACACTGCATGGCATTGATTGTCCTCTTCAACCCAATTAGGTGCAGAACAGTAGAACATAGTCCAATGGTAAAGCAAAAGTTCCGACTAAATTTCCCTCATTGCACACTGCATGGCATTGATTGCTCTCTCCAACCCATTCTGGTACAGAAAAGTGGAACATAGACCAATGGTAAAGCAAAAGTTCTGGCTAAATTTCCCTCATTGCACACTGCATGGCATTGATTGATTGAAGCTAAGTGGGGTAAAGAATTGTTTTATTATCAAATGATGGCTACAAAGTAACTTACATAATAATGAAAGAAGCTTTTGGTTTTATTTTTAAGTTATTTTTCAACCTGGTTTCCCTCTGTCAGTGATACAGGTAAGACGGGCTGACATGGAAAAAAAGTCTAGTTGTTCAGATGGGACAATAAACCGAGGCCCCGTGTGCTACAGGCTGTGCACGTTAAAGATCCATGGACAGTTGGAAATTGAAAAAGAGCAGGCTAATGCCGCCGTCTTGGTCAAATTTCCCTCATTGTACACTGCATGGCGTTGCCCGTATTAATAAGCTTAATTAGGTGCAAAAAAGTACAACTTAAAGGGATTGTAAAGAGGTTTTCCAAAAATTGTATGTGCACTAGAGACACTGATAGCATCAATTTACACCATTCTAATTTTCATACAGATGTCTGTGGTTCCTGCAATTCCACTAAAACTAAGTGTTTGATGATGTCACTAATTGCAAAATAATCACAAAGGGCTTCGCTATTAGCAATGTCATAAACGCTTAGTTTTAGTGGAATTGCAGGAACCACAGACATCTAATTGAAAATTGAAATGGTGTAAATTGATACTATCAGTGTTCCTGATACACATAAAAAGTTTAGAAAACCTCTTTACAATCCCTTTAAATCATATTCCATTCATTTCATTTATAACTTAATGGTATAACAGGTGTAAATATTTGGTACTGTAAGAAGTTATAATGGGTTGTTGGTTATTTAAGAGAAATATACCTTAAATATTTGCTTTACCAGCTGATAGTGCTATAATTTCAGCCACCTGTATCACTTTTCAAAATAAAAACCTGACATCCAATTCTACTGCAATTCAATGTATCAAACCAATTTAGACTATTGTAATTTTCCAAGCTATTCTAACATTCTCACCTTCACTGATATTGCACGGAAGAAATGTTCACAACTGCCTAGAAGTGAAGTTTTATCAAATTGTAGACAAACCAGATGTTCGGTGACATTCTGAAAAGTGTTACAACTGGTAAATCGCAATAATTTTTGGCAAAATCACAAGTATAGTATATACATTTAGGAAGTTTGGCTTTTGGAATAAATTAAAGCTAAAACTAAAACAAATTCATTGTACATCAGGTTTTGTTTCATGTTTTTCTGTGGGTGACTCCACTTACTAACTATGATCTGTCAATATTATTATGCAACAATTGTTCTAGGATATTCAAATATTCAACCAATTAATTTTTCTGTTGAATAAAGATTTACCTAATACAAGTGAGAGAGTTAAATGTTCACACCAGGGCTGTTGAATTATATGTATCTACCAGTCACGTCTGAATGGAGCTCCAAAATGACTGACTGTAATTTTCATCTTCAGGCCATTTTCTATACAATTGTGCTACATGATTTAGGGCTATTGATTTATCTGTATCTACTAGTCACGTCTGAATGGAGCTCAAAAATGACTGACTGTAATTTTCATCTTTAGGCCATTTTCTATACAATTGTGCTACATTTTGATGAAAATGGGTACAAAATCTTAATTTTGTTAAAATGTCCAGTAGGGATTTTCTGTAATCAAGAGCCCTGGTTCACATAGATGCACATTTCGACAAAACAAAACACCCGGATACAATTCAAATATCAAGGCTATTACATACAAATATTTTCACAGCCTTTGTCAGTGCCATTACACCATAGCGATTACCAGTCATGTACGGTTGTGAATACTGAAAGATGTCACGAGGACCGAACGCAACTCGCAATTCAGTTACATGAGAGTTGTGTCCAAACTTATGACCGCCATTCTTATTTTGCAGCCATATTGTGCAGGCACACGAGCAGTCTTGGTCGGGAATAACTTTAACAGGGCTGAGCATTATTGGTTCAAGTGGATATCAAATTATATTTTAATATTAGGTTTGCCATTTCAGAAGTTGATTTGAGTGTTGAATATATATAAATAGTCTTCAGATGTACTAGAAATGTATGAAAATCACATAATTCCTTTAAAAATATCTCACACTAGGAATTTTACTCACTATTTCTATAGATGTCTTTTCTATATATCACAGTGTCTCAAGAAAAGACGACTCGTCATTTTAACTTTCAAACGCGGATAATTCAGGACACACATGGATTTGGAGGCTAACATTTTGACGGTAAGGTGTGAACACTATTACTGATTGGCTTAGCTAAAAAATTCCTGTTTCTGAGACAAAGGTATGATTGGTCAAACAGATGGTGAAGCTATCCCTTTAACATATCACAAAAATCTTACGTTTGTTATTTCCTGGTTTTTGACAAAATTTTGAGAAAAAAACCGAAATTTAAGAAAAACTATAAATGTCTTTCAAAAACCACCCAGTTTTTTTTTCAAGAAAGAAACAACTTTATTTTACATGGATAACAACTTAGGTTCACAGTTAAAGATCCTTTCTACCAGCTGGTCCTTGACCAAACCTCTTAGCAATGATCTTTCCCGGATTATCTGTACCCATTTACAGCTGGGTTGACTGGAATAATGAGGATCCTTTCTACCAGCTGGTCCTTGACCAAACCTCTTGGCTTTGATCTATCCTGGATTATCTGTACCCATTTACAGTTGGGTTGACTGGAATAATGAGGATCCTTTCTACCAGCTGGTCCTTGACCAAACCTCTTGGCATTGATCTTTCCTGGATTATCTGTACCCATTTACAGCTAGGTTGACTGGAATAATGAGTGAAGATGACTTAATCAAGATCATTTGACTATCACATGCTGATCGAGATCTGAACCCACAGCCATCATTATCTAGGGTAACCAAATTTCAAAAAATGTAAAGAACCAGTGCTATAGAACCTCACAAAAAAACATCTGTTTCAAATATTAACATTATTTGTTAAAAGTGTGTAAAAGATCTTATCTGGATAAATATTTGATGGTATATCATGATAATTAACATATAAAATATATTAATAATGATGATATTCAGTTACAACTAAATAAAAACGAGGCGTTGATATTAATATGTATCATCTATGAATAAAACATTGTTTCAACACACAATAGAAATTATTATACATGTACTAGTATTCATCTATCTTCATTATATCAAGCTATTACAAACTGTTTTTTAAAGGGATTGTAAAGAGGTTTTAAGAATTTGTTATGTGTATCAGGGACACTGATAGCATCAATTTACACCATTCCAATTTTCAATCAGACATCTGTGGTTCCTGCAATTCCACTAAAACTAAGTGTTTGATGACGTCACAAAATATGCTATATCAAATAAGGCCCTTCGACGTTACACTTGGTTTTAGTGGAATTTCAGGAATCACAGACATCTGATTGAAAATTGGAATGGTGTAAATTGATTGGTTTCTAAATTTTGATGTGTATCAGGGACACTGATATCATCAATTTACATCATTCTAATTTTCAATCAGACGTCTGTGGTTCCTGCAATTCCACTAAAACTAAGTGTTTGATGATGTCACAAAATATGCTATATCACATAATGCCCTTCGACGTTACACTTGAATTTCAGGAATCACAGACATCTGATTGAAAATTGGAATTGTGTAAATTGATTGGTTTACTAAATTTTGATGTGTATCACTGTGACACTGATAGTATCAATGTTCACCATAAGTGACATCATCAAACACTTAGTTTTCGTGGAATTACAGGAACCACAGACATCTGATTGAAAATTAGAATGATGTAAATTGATGCTATCAGTGTCCCTGATGTACATAAAAAATTTAGAATACCTTTTTACAATCTGTTTAATCCAGCCAAGTATTAACTGTAAGTGCATAAATATTTTAGAAGTCAAAATCACAGGTTATATTTTATCATAATTTTTCTTCAAAACCACAAAATTTGCTCATTTTTACAAAAATATCACTTTTGAGCTTTTTCAGGTTTAAATTGAAATGCCGTCAATATCTTGAAAAATGGAAAAAAAAACACGAAAAAATTGATTATTTTCAGTCATAGAGAGAGAAACTTAAATTTCCACATAAAAATGGCCATTAGACAAAATATCAAGTCAAAGATAGCCTACATGTTTAAAGCACTGGGGTATGGGAATAGTTGATTTGAAGATTCTTACAAAAATATTGAGCCCATACCCAATTTCAGATGAGATCTAGTATATTGAAAGAGTCACAAGACTTTAATCTTTAGAATATTCACGTTGTCGATTCCTCGTTCCCGTTCAGTGACTTACTGTGGCATATCGAGATGTATCAGCACTATTGATTAGTATGTTTTATGACCTTTATCCCTTATAACATTTCACCCCAGTTTAAGTTCAATCGCGCATAGATCTTTAGGTTATTTAAAGCAAAGTTAGTCACCATTTCCAAAACTCTATCCTGATGAGGGGTGTGCATCCAAAACATGAGCACTAGTCAATTAGATGAGTCAAACACTCAAACATCAATAAGTTAAGCAATCACTTCCTGTCCTAATGAGGGTTGTGCATCCGAAACACCTGTCGGCAGCATGAAATAATCACTAGTTAATTAGGAAAGAATTTCTGTACCGGTACCGTACTGTAGAATATTCTCAAGTTGGCTTTTCACCACTGTTCAGTGACTTACTTTGCTCGTATACAAATCACCAAACATTAGAAAAATTAACATTCATCAGCTGTCCTGATGAGGATTTTATATCCAAAACATCTGTTAGTAGCAGGAGATGAGCACTAGTCAATAGATAATATCATAAGGAAGTTTCAAATAATCATCACAAATTTCTCATTGGCTGGTTATTGCCACTGGTTGGCTGGTTATTTATGTACTTCTAGCTGGGTATTTGCATCCAGTTGGCCGGTTAATGCCTCTGGTTGGGCGGGTACATATTTCCATTTACTTACTTTATTTACTTCCGATCAGTCCATTTAGTCCATTATTAGGTAATATCACTAGGCTATTCGTTTCAATTGAGTCACGTACCGGTACCGTTAATCTAACATTGTGTATCTGGATCTGTTGGCAGGTCGTACGGCGAGCCAAGACTCTGTCTCATTGAGGCTCCATATGGTCTATCATTGCTCACAGCTGCCTTCTCAATTTTTTGCAAATTGGATTTTAATTGCGCTATGTCTAAATCATATTTGTTTAAAAAATCCATTCCACTTTCCGTGGACACAACTTGTTGTGGTGACGTTTCTTTGGGTTGTTCCTCATTACTGGAGTTATAACGGTCTGACACTTCCACTATGAGCTCTTTGGGCACAATATCTTGGTTGGTTGGAAGCAGGGGGACCAAAATATGTTGACGTAAAAATAAACTATCGTTCGTCCATAACTGATTTAGTCTTTTGATTTGTTCCACTGAGACATGATATTTCAGAGCTATTCCCATCAGAGTGTCCTCTGGACTGACATTATGTCGGATGTGTCTGGTAGCTTTCTCAGCCAACGGGACATTGCCACCGATACATTTTCCAGAAGTCGTGCCATATTTCGTCTGGCTTCTGACAAACATACTCAAATGTTGACGTTCGTTTTCATTTTCTCCATTCGCCATTACCACCACTTTCAATTCTAGTTCTTCAAGCTAAAAATGAACAGACGACAAATTACACTATCTGAAGGTTGAAATGACAACGTTTTTTCCCAAATTATCACATTTTGAAATGTAAATATTGACAAAATTAATGAGAAATGGAAAAGAAAATATTTTCGTTGACAAGTCTGTCAAGTTTGGCTAAAAATAGAAACTTCCGAAAAGGTCACGTGTAAACCGGAACTGGAAAAAGGATTCAGACCACCAGTATGGATCTGGGAACTTAAAGCTGGCAAACCCAGTTGCAAAGTGACATCAGGCGTGGGAAAGAATGTTACCTGAAATTCTTGGAAGTGTTTCAGATTTGTATTCTTCATTGTCGAGCTCTGAAAATGGGGAACAAACTGCGCTTTCGTGATTGCTGCCTTTAATTTCGCAAACTGCTGGAAGTGTGCGGTAGCACTGTGATACTCCGTCTTTCAATTTGCAGTCTGCGGTATAGTAGTGTGCGTTGAATAGGTGTGCAGAAGATGTCCGTCTGATATCTTATACACTAACTGTACGAAAGTCGTGTGCGTTGGGTGCGGCAATATGTTTCTGATCTGGATCTCGCCGCCGTTTTTCAATTCGCAAACTATGGTAAAGAAGTAGGTGTGCGGCAGAGGTTTTTTCAATCTTCCAAAATTGAGGCAGATGACACTAAACGTTTGACTCAGTATCTATGCCCTTACTGAAGCCTCTTGGACATCTCATATAGCCCGAGATCCGGCCCTCGTGAAAAGACCTATCAGAAACAAAGCCCAAATGGATTGAATCCGGATTAAGGATCACTCTTTACTCTCGAAGGGATTAGGGATTATTCAAATGAATGATACTCAGAGCAAATTAGGTCAGTTTGGTAATGATTGAAGTAGGGGAGAGTGGGGAGAAATTATCTGGCTTGAATAGGGACATAAGTTTATTCACTAGGGGAGAATGGGGGAAATGGACATAGTTTCGTTTTCTTACAACAAATGGTAGTATGGTAGTAGGGGAGAGCGGGGATCAATCGTCTGCAATGAAGCAGTACAACTTGAATTAATTAGAGATGATTTGGGGAGATTCGGCATTTATGTAGCTTAAATAGGGGCCCCATGTTAGTTCACTTACTACAAATGATGGTAGGGGAGAGTGGGGATAATTTGAAGCAGTAAAACCTTTAATTAACATGAAGACTAGGGGAGGGTGGGTATAATTTGTCTATTATGAAAAGGGACCCATATATGGCATGTCTAGGGAAAAGTGGAGACTAATAACACACTGAAAACACATCTTAGAGAACTAGTCAAGTAGGGTAAAGTGGGGAGAAATGATTACAAAAATATCTTTAGACTAGGAACATGTTTATTGTACAAAAACAAAACAAAAACTTTCCTTTACAGAAAAACAATTTGTTCAAAACAAAAACAAAGTTTATAATGTAAGAAAATGTAAAGTATTTAATTCAACTTTCTGGGTCTCTTGATTTCACTGGCAAGAAAGATTGTAAGTAGTGACAATGACCAAAGTTGGATATAATTTATAAGGCAACAACAAAACACCCCTAAATTTATAAATGAGCTCTTCCAATTGTGCAGATACAGTAACATATTGATTGAAATATGCATGTGCAGAAGAGTGCAATAGAAATTTGAGGGGTGTCAAGTTGACTTGCGCACTATATCCAGCCGTGCCATTCATAGAGTTCTGATATTCTTGTTCAATGGTTCTTTGGATTGAAGCACATCTCATGGTAGAGATAAACATATTAGCTGATTGTATCAAGGGATAAGATGAAGAAAACTCGAATACCCTTGACACGGCAAAATAAAGGAAATGTTTGGGAATAAAAAAAATACAAAGAACTACTATCTATCTATAACTAAGAATCAGACTAAGGATATCCCTAAAAGGGATGCGGTCTTCGAATTTTTGAAATCCAACCACAAAACTTATTTTCAGAGCTACCTGTACCTATTATTTAAATGAACATTCTACTTAAGGTTTGTCTACAATTTACATCTAAAACTGAAGGAAATTACAAAAAACATTTCTGTGGCTTTGCTTGACTGTAAAAGGGATATCGTCTTCGAATTTTTGAAATCCAACCACAAAACATATTTTCAGCTACTAGTAGCTTTTATTAGAATGAACATTCTACTTAAGGTTAGTCTACAATTTACATCTTAAACTGAAGGAAGTTACAAAGGAAAGTCCCGTGGATTTGTTTGACTCTAAAAAGGATGCGGTCTTCGAATTTTTTAAATCCATCCACAAAACTTCTTTTTAGCTACCGGCAAAATTTATTAGAATAAACATTCTACTTCAGGTTTGTCTACAATTTTTTTAAACATAGTGACTGAAGTATTATGCAGAAAGGTATGTGGCTTAGTTTGACTTCATGCCACAAAAGGTCTGCATAATACTATGTGTACTCTCTCAAATGCACGCAGAGTTGAACATCTCAGTCGGAAAGTGACATTCAGATTTGTTTTACCCTGTTGTAGTATATTAAGCAGTATATGCTCTGCGGATGTTCTTTTATCTATTGGTGATAACAGAGAACATATCCAAGACAAATTTTTCTCAAATTAAAACCTATCCATTTTGCAACACGATTGTTAAACTCAAAGTGTTAATTTGGCCTGGAACTTTTATCGAAGTAAAATTTCCTAAAAAAAATTTCAAGTTTGTAAACATGATTTTAAATTCAAAGGAACAAGTTTGGGGATGAAATTCAAAATCCAACCCAAACTTTGTGTTTCACGATTTTTTGTCAATTCGGAATGAAAATATTTTTTTTGGAAATTAATTTTTCAAACATGATTTTAAATTCAAAGGGTTAATTTAAGTAGTTCCCCTCCCCCCAAAATCTATTTTTTGGGGAAAAAATCACTAACACGAGAATGCAACCCTATTTGCAGAACGTGTAAAATCAGGACGTGGATTTCAATGCTATAAATGTTTGTTTACATATTAATATGTTAATATCACAAGTTAAACCAAACACAACAGAAAAATGGGAAGAAACGAAAAACTGTTTCCATAACAACGATCACCCTGTTGGTAGCGTGTAAAATCAGTCAATGTATTTCTTTGGTAGCGTGTAAAATCAACCAACGTATTTATCGTGATGCTCTTCAATATCTTCAAGTGTTGTTTCTTCAGCCTCCATTTGAATATTTGATACAGTATGGCGTGCCATGATTCTTAAAAGTGGGCGGAGTTTCAACCACCATTGATCTACGGGAATTCTCTTACTGAAAAATTAAGATAATATTAATTACAAGGGCAATGATTAAACTTACACGTGCTGAAATTTTCTCAAATGTGAACACGTCCTTCACAATTTGTGAAGAGCCATGCTTACGAATGAATCAAAATGGAGTTTTACGTCCAACTTTTCTGCACCAGTAAGGGCTACTGATTTCAGGCCACACCATGTAGTGTGCAATGAGGGAAATTTTGCCTAGATAGCAGACAGCATAAGCCTAATCTGTTTTTGCTTTTCCAACTGTCAAGGGATCTTTTATGGGCATGGGTTTATTGTCCCATCCGAACGACTAGACACTTTTTCCATGTCAGCCCCTCTTACCTGCATCACTGACAGGGGGAAACCTGGTTGAAAAATCTGAAGCTATTATCTTAACCTATGTCAGGATTGAACCCTGGACCTTCAGGTTAACAATCAAACATCTAACACACTGAGCCACCGCGGCTCCCTAAATTCTTATGAAGAATTGTCAGGAGAATGACCTGCATCACTGACAGGGAAAAGTCTGAAGGTATTATAAAGACCTATGCCAGGATTGAACCCTGGACCTTCAGGTTAGCGAGCAAGCGTCTAACTCATTGAGCCACCATGGCTTTCCACCATGCTCACCTGACAGGAGGAATCAATTGAAAACTTACTTGAAATCAGTGGCAATGGCCAATGACTGTACAGATGTGAATAATAAGAATCGTTTGGCCATTCCAAGAAGAGTAGCCGTACCTGGATTATCAGTAAACACACGACCTGAAAAAAAATAAGACAATTCAAAAATTAGTTTTTAAAGATGGGTTTCTATGGAAGGCTGAATGGCTTTTTATTCAAATTTCTTAATTCTTAATTCTAAATTCTCATCTCTTAATTTGCACGCTTAATTCAACATTTGTTATTGAAATAATAAGTTGTCCCAAAATTTTATGCTAGACTACAAAGCGCCACATTACCCCCAAAAAATTCCAAAATTATCCCCATGTTGAAAACCCCTGCCTAAGCGGAACGAAATCTTGAATCCGTTAAAATAAAAAATCTGAAGTTACCGTCTTCTTTGGTGTTAGCTTCAATTTGATCGATAAGCCAGTTCACAGCCTTGGCAGCCATTTTGGTTCCGTAGTTTCTGTCGTAAGGGGTGGGAACTCCTCCCTGTTGCATGTGACCCAAAACATTCAGACGACAGGTAAAAACGCCCTTGCCTTCCTCGGAAAACAAACGATAAATAAAATCAGATGTGTAGTTCTCATTGGCACATTCATTTCTGCAAAAAAAGAAGCATAAAAAGGAAACCATGCAGTGTGCTATCAGGGAAATTTTGTCAGGCCATCGACATAAGCCTGTAGAGGGATCTTTTACTTACAGTCTGTAGCTTGGAAAGACACCATGCTGTGTACAATGAAGGAAGATTTGGCCATGACAGCAACCTTAGCCTATAGAGGGATCTTTTACGTACAGTCTGTAGCTTGGAAAGACACCATGCAGTGTGCTATCAGGGAAATTTGACCATGACAGTAACCTTAGCCTATAGAGGGATCTTTTGCGCACAGTCTGTAGCTTGGAAAGACACCATGCAATGTGCAATGAGGGAAATTTGACCATGACAGCACCTTAAGCCTATAGAGGGATCTTTAATGTGCACAACCTGTAGCACACAGGGCCTCAGACAAACACCATGCAGTGTGCAATGAGGGAAGTTTTGTCAGGACAGCAGCATAAGCCTCTAAGTCTAACACACATGGCCTTGGAAGACACCATGAAGTGTGTAATGAGGGAAAATTAGCCTGCTTTTTTTCGATTCCAACTGTCGAGGGATCTTTAACATGCACAGACTGTAGCACACAGGGCCTCGGTTTATTGTCCCATCTGAATGACTAAACGCTTTTTTCCATGTCAGCCCCTCTTACCTGCATCACTGACAGGGGGAAACCAGGTTGAAAAATCTGAAAGCATCATTTCAACCTATGCCAAGATCGAAACCTTAGACCTCTTGTTAAGCAGCTAAGCTCCTAAGCTGGCTACGGAATAGGATGCAGCATAGATTCGAGCATAATGTTATAGCTATATAAAATAACCAACTTACTGAAGAATGAGGCCTCTCTGGACACCAGCGTTTGTAATCTTGTCTTTCATATGGAACACGTCCGTCTGCAATGAAACAAGGGGAGTTTTACACCCTACTGTTCTACATATCAAAGATTGTAATTTGTAGAATTTCAGAACCACAGACGTCAGATTGAAAATTGGAATGGTGTAAATTGATGCTATCAGTGTCCCTGATACACATAATTCTGGACACACATGGATTTGAAGACTCAAATTTCGACAGTGAGCTGTGAACACTATTACTGATTGGCTAAGCTAAAAAATTCCTGTTTCTGAGACTAAAGTATGATTGGTCAAAAAATGGCCTACCGGTCCCTTTAAGTTATCAATTGCATTCAAGAGAACATACCTTTAAGTCTAAGATGCCATGTTTTTCTTCATATATATAGGCTGCGTCTGCTCCTCCAGCCAGACCAGCTAGTGTTGCTAGGTAACCACAGAATCCTCCCATTGTCTCCACTATGAAGACCCGACGTTTGGTTCCAGTGGCAGATTGTTTAATTCTATCACAAATCTTAAAGGAAAAAACTTCTAAATAACATAACGTTTGGATTTTTCAACCCAGTTTCCCACCTGTCAGTGATGCAGGTCGAAGGGACTGGCTGGGTTAGACAAACTGACTGTCGAGGCATAGCTTGAGATTATATGTTTGGGTTTTCCAACCCGGTTTCCCCCTGTCAGTGATGAAGGTAAGAGAGGCTGGCATGGAAAAAGTGTCTAGTCGTAATAAACCAAGACCCTGTGTGCTACAGGCTGCACGTTAAAGATCCCTCGACAGTTGGAAATCTAAAAAGGATAGGCTAATGCCGCTGTCCTGGCAAAATTTCCCTTATTGCACCCTGCATGGCGTTGCCCGTCTTCATTAGCCCACATGATGTAGAAAAGTAGGACGTAAAACTCCATTCATTTCATTTCATAAATGAGATTGAAGCAGGCTGTGTACGTTAAAGATCCATCGACAGTCAGAATCGAAAAAAGAGCAGGCTAATACCGCTGTGCTGGAATTGGGTCACAAGCCACTTTCAATATATATTTAGAATATCAAGGGATGTAACTCTGTCAATATTTGTCAAATCATGCCCAAATTCGAACTGGTCCTAGATCTTTTCAATATAACACAATTTCATAAATTGTTGTCAAAAACTGTTGCTCTATTGCATTCACAAGCCATTTTTAATGTATATTTAGAATATCAAGGGATGTAACTCTGTCAATATTTGTTGAATCATACCCAAATTCAAACTGGTCCAAGATCTTGTGAATATAACCCAATTCCTAAATTGTTATCAAAAACTGTTGCTCTATTGCATTCACAAGCCATTTTCAATATATATTTAGAATATCAAGGGTTGTAACTCTGTCAATATTTGTCGAATCATACCCAAATTCGAACTGGTCCTAGATCTTGTGAATATAAACCTACACATAAAAATTCAGACAAAAACCAATTGCACACAATCAGACAGACTGGGGAGACAGCAAAATCTGTCCACGTTTCATGTGGGCGTATAAAAATCAAAATGGTAGTAAATTTGACGACTTACATCAGTAATTTCATTGAGGGCCGTATCAGCCCCTAAGGAGAAGTCCGAACCAGGGATATTATTACTAATAGTACAAGGTACAACTGTTATAGGTATACAGAATGCTGGGTACCTATCTCGAGCTTGAGCTATCTGTAGACAACTGTGGAACGCCTGAAAATAGAATTATGGTATTTATATGGCATCCATTTTAACCTGGCATCCATTTTGCCAATCTTGATTATATTTTTTTTCCGATATTTTTCACTCCATTGTAATCTAACATGTTTTCTACTGCAGTCATGTTCTAATGATGTTTCTTTCAAAAAAACTCAACAATCTTTACATGACAATCTCTTCAGAGAGTTCACATTGCTAATTCATTCTCTTGACATCATTTTCAGAGAGTTCACATAGCTAAAAGTGTTTATTTGGTACGGTATTAAAGTTTGCCAACCTAGCATTCCCTTCAGAGAGTTCACATAGCTAATAATGTTTTCTTGGTCTATCTACAATCCTTCAGTGAGTTCGCATTGCAAATTTATTCTCTTGACATCGTTTTCAGAGAGTTCACGTCGCAAAAAATGCTTATTGTGTCATTAGGTTTGTCAACTTGGTATCCTTTTCAGAGAGTCCACATAGCTAAAAAAATTTATTTGGAATATCAATATGGCATTCCCTACAGAGAGTTTAAAATTACAAATTTCTAATAATAAATTGAAGACTAAGGTTACATGTCCAAAACTCACCTCAAATCCACCAATAATACACAAGCCTTCTATTTTATGTTCTTGAAGTTTGTGCGCGATTTTTCCCAACCCAGCTTCTTCAGCTAATTGTCTACAATAAAATTTTGGAAAGATTCAGCAAGTTTCTAGCTAGACATTGTTGTTAAAGGAACACTACCACTTAGAATGGACATAAAATTTCAAATCTGGTGTAATAATTATACATCAGAATCCCTGTACAATCACTAAATAAATGGAACTATGGTTCACCTTATCCAAATAGCTTCACATGAGACAATAAGTTTCAACCAATCAAAATGATCTTTTTCATACGAAAGGGGTTGCCCTTATTCATATAATATTCACTAGTTTTGTATGTGTTCAAATTTACAAAACAAAACATAAAAATGAAGTGTGTTGATTGGTTGACGTGGAAATCATGTGACTTCATGAATATTTATTATCTCAATCATACTTTTCTGCACCTGGTTAGGCAAATTTCGGTCCCAAAATCCGAGGCTAGGTAAAGGCAATAAGTTTTTCTGGCCCTACATCAGTGACATTCGTCAAAACAGTGTCAGAGACTATGAAAGAGTCATCAGGCAGATAAGTTAACTTACTTTCTGGTGCCAAGATAAGAACCTCCTTTTCCTGCCCAACCATGAACCTCAGTCCAAGACATTGGCGCTACCTGTAAAAGACAATCAAGGGATACTTTTTGAAATGAAATCATACTTTGAGTTTGCGTACAATTAGATAAAAATAAACTATAATCTTTGAATGTCATAAAATGTCAACTAAAGAATTGCTACGTAATCTACCAAAAGTGGGCAATGGGGCAATTTTTTATTTAAGAGAGCGCTGAGAGAGGGATGAGAGAGGGCTTAGAGAGGGCTGAGAGAGGGCTTAGAGAAGGCTGAGAGAGGGCTGAGAGAGGGCTTAGAGAAGGCTTAGAGAGGGCTTAGAGAGGGCTGAGAGATGGCTGAGAGAGGGCTGAGAGGGCTGAGAGAGGGCTTAGAGATGGCTGTGAGAGGGCTAAGAGAGGGCTGAGAGAAGGCTTGGAGAGGGCTGAGAGAGGGCTAAGAGAAGGCTGAGAGAGGGCTGAGAGAAAGCTGAGAGAGGACTTGACTAAGAATTCACAACCCTAAATGCCCAAAACCTGCTACATATGGGGCATCGATTTCTAGCCCAATCCGAACAGCTTTTTCCATATCATTCCTTCCAATTTGCATCACTGACAGGTAAAACAGAGTTGAAAAAAAAACGAAACCTACCCTGCCTTTTAATAAACCATCAAAACTGTCCTGAATACCCAAAACTCTGAAGCCTTTGGTTAAAGTCAAACGAACAAATGCACGAATGGCTGCGTTCATACCACAGGCTGGAGCACCAATATTCATCACAGCTACATTACGTGCTGTCTGAAATTATCAAACGAAATAGAGCTTTACACCCTACTTTCTGTAAGTGTTTGGGCCAATCAAGATGGCCATCGTCTGACAAACTCAAGGCCTATAGTTAAGCTACCAAATTAGAAAATGAAAACTTTGCAAAATTTTTTTTGTGTTTGCAGGCCTGTAGCCAGACTGGCCTGATTTTTTTTACTTATAGGTTCAGTCGAAAGTGAGGCCAGGGGCCTAATTCTCGGAAACTTGATAAGATAAAATCAAGATTTTGAAAAAATGCAGTAATCTGATTGGATAATAAAACTCAATTTAAATTAATGTAAGTGATTGACCAATCAGACGACTGGAATACTAAAATCATTATCAGTTTAGTTTTCGAGAATGAAGCATCAAAAACGTAACCGTTAGCAACCAACCCCTTTTCATTAAGTCGTCTCGATGACAAAAAGTGGGAAGGAAAAGTTCAGTGGCAGGATAGAAACAAAAATAGAGTTATCTCACCTTACAACTAGTGCCCTCTACATTACAGGCAGAGGACGGGGGTCGCAATTTACTGAGCAGACGATAAACACTTAAATTATTCTGGAAACTCCTGTCAGGGGAGAGAAAGCAAATGAAAATTCTTTATTTTCTGTATCAAAATTAGGGTTATAATGGCTCAATATTATTAGTTGAAATCTTTAGAATACGTAGGAGATATATTTCTCTACAATTAGGCGTTTATTTTACTCAAATCCGAACAGTAGTTTTCTAACAGCTTTCAAAAAACATAACGAACTTTCAAAGTTTACGTAATCTTACATAGACTTTATAAATATTTTTGGCATTAAAAAATTATCGGCTGGATTTTTTAAGTTAAAGATGGGTTCCCTTTTTTTTATTTATGAAAAAGAAAATGCTAATACTTATATGAATAGAAAGTAGAGGTGTTCTAATGACTTGGTAAAGTACCAGTTTGTCTCACATGTCCATGGACCATAATTTCACATTTTTTGCTTATTTTTTTATTCAATAATTATTCATTCAGGATGCCAAGTTTGTTTTTACATCAAAAAAAAAAAAATTTGACTTACTTTCCTCTGAGTCTAACAGCCTCTTCAAAATTCCCTTCGTTCATGGCATGCTGCACGGCTTGCGTCTGCAATGCAAATAAAACGGTCAAGTTGCTTTTAAATTAGAAAATAATTTTGTTTCTTTTTTTTTGATAATTTTTATCTTCACTGTAATCTAACAAGTGTTCTTATGATATTATTTTCCTGATATATGCAATAACACGAATAGTCATGGTGGCCGTATTTTGTCGCAGACTCCAGTAAAATTTTCCTTTCAATTCCATGATCCATACCAGATTAACGACATAGTGGAAAACGACCGACTGATGATTTTTGTCTCCTCGTGTGAAACTCTTGACAAGACTAGTCAGCGACAAAACTCAGCGACCAGGACAGTTCGTGTCCCGGCATCTTGTAATCTCAATCCTAATCTAACTAATTTTTTACCACAGTCCTGTTCTAAAGAAGTTATTTTTTGATATTTTTGGCATCACTTGTAATCTTACAAGTTTTCTACAGCCTGAATTAACTTTCTAACCAATCAAATTGAAGGAGTTATTCCTTACGTACCCTCTCGACACATTTCATAAGTGGAACTCGAACAGTCTGGTTTCCCTCCAAGGAAACGACACATGCCGGCGTTTCTGGATTGGCATCCATCAGAGCTAAGACTGCTTCAGCTCCCATTCTGGCTCCCTAGAAAATGTTATAATATTACTTACATTAAAGATGGGTTCCCTTATTTTCATTTATGAAAATGAAAATGCTAATACTTATATGAATAGAAAGTAGAGGTGTTCTAATGACTTGGAAAAATACCAGTTTGTCTCACATGTCCATAATTAATTCATAATTAACTAAATTAGAAGAGAATTACCAGCAGAATTCCAATGAGTGACCGATCAAGAAAGGTCCAAAAGTATTTTTTTGATTATCCAGACTGTACATACATGGAGATTTATGATTGGTTAAATGACCTCTCTGTACTGATTGCTTGTGCTGCTGTCCTGGCAAAATTTCCCTCATTGCACCCTGCATAGCGTCACCCACAAGGTGCAGAAAAGTAGGACGTAAAACTCCATTCATTTCATTTTCTGTACTGATTGCTACATGTAAGAGTTCAGAGGTCAAGAGTTCAAGAGTTCAAAGGTCAATACTTACCAAAACTCTGTCAAAAGCAGATGGACTACCACCTCTCTGTACGTGACCCAGCACTGTGATTCTTGTATCTATTTTCTGCTCGGTTAAAATCTGAAAAAAAACCCCAACAAAATAGTTTTTAAAAAATTGCAAATGGCTGTCAATAGCAGACGTGAATTCAACCCCTCAATGAAATGGCGAAAACAGCAAATTTACTTGTTTCAAAAGTTTTTTTTTCCATGACCTGCATTTCTGTACATAGATGGAAAAATGCAAACTAATGCACTGTGCAATGGGGCAAATTTTGTCAATTGTCAATGCATCTCTACCTGTCCTTACCAAGTTTATCAAAATCAAATGAAAAATCGTTAACTTGTTGGTGCTTATAAGAAATTTGCAGGAACTTACGTCTTTGACCATGCTAGCTGTAATGGCATTTCCTTCACGATCTATGGCACCCTCGGCAACCAATACTATATTTAACCTTTGACCCAAACCTCTTTCCTAAAAATTCACCAAAATACATTACAAAAGTATACTATAGTCTCTTAAAAACATTTCATTCCAGTCTATGATGGATAGCTACCTGTATTACTTTTCAGAATGAGGTATCTGATGACTGGTTCATTTACAATTCAATCACATAAACACGATAGTATATTTGTACAACATTCCGAACATTGATGGGAGAATGTTAACAAAGTGAAAGCTTAATTGTTACATTCATTGGTATGTTATTACTGAAACGCAGAAGAACTGTATGCCAAATTTTCATTATGAAAAATGTTATGCGTAGCTTAAATTGATCTGTTTGAATAACCAAGACATAAATTTATGCAAAACCTAGGAAAGCATGTTGTTTTTAAAAAGGTTCTGTAGATTAGAGTGGCAAGCGGCCTCTTACCGTGTTGAGTTTTTTACAAAGTGTTTCCTGCCATCCAGCCTCTGGCGGCCATTCCGGAATAAAAACCCAATCAGCCTCACATGCCAACGAAGCTACCAGAGCCAAATACCTAGATGAGAGAGCATGGAATTTTACATCCTACTTTTCTGTATCTGATTGGACTAATGGAGATCAGCTTTGGGATGCAGTGGGCAATGAGGCAACTAAACTAGATACCTAAAGGATGAAGAAAATGTTTTGGATTTTGGAAAAAAAACCTGTTTGTGTTAATGGAGAGCAGCTTTGGTATGCAGTGGGCAATGAGGATAATGCCTAAAGGATAAAGAAAATGTTTTGGATTTTGGGAAATAAACCTGTTTGTGTTCTTGGAGAGAGATCCTAGTATGAAGTGGGCAATGAGGCAACTAAACTAGCTACCTATTTATACTTACCCACAATGTCTACCCATAACTTCTAAAACAAAAGCTCTCTGATGACTGAAAGGAGATTAGAAAAATTATATTTCTCTCCTGATCAACGAGTGCAGATATTGGAATCTAAAATCATAGCCTACAGTTGTAAATATTGAAAGGGTTGCATTTATCCAATGGTAGCTTTTTGTCCATCATATTCCTGATGAGGATTGTATATCTGAAACATGTGTCTGTGTAGTCCTAAACATCTGCCTCTATTCTAGCTTCTGACAGATAAACTGACAGTTATTGGCTAGAGTAGAGTCAGAAAAACTAGGCACTGTTTTATGGGGATTTCCAGTCGGCAATGTGATAAACTTGTCGTGGAAGCTCGGGCACATGTGAGATTTTACTAAAAATTTGAGGCGGCGACAAAAATCAATGACCAAGATTGTTCATGTACCCGCACCCGAAACAACCTGATGAAGATTCTATATCCAAAACATGCATTTGTCTTACCTTGAAGCAGTAGTTGTAATGGCGTCAACGGATTCTATGATACGATGCAATGCCGAGTCGGTACCAATAGTCATGTCAGTTCCACAGAAATCATTGTCAATGGAACCAACTAATCCTGCGATATTCAGATCCTGACATCCGATTCTTTCTTCCATTGAGATCATTCCTGGAAATGACCAAAAGACACAAATTAAATGGAAATTTGTAGATTGTAGATTTAGAATGCCAGGGCTTGTGCTTTTGGAAGTCTTCGTACCACAATCAATCCACTATCATGCAAAATGTTGCCATGAATTCAAATCCTCAAAAATATATGACTTAATTCCAGGGCTTGTGCTTTTGGAAGTCTTCGGACCACAATCAATCCACTATTAAGCAAAAAGTTGCATTCAGTAGTGCCATGGGATCAAATCCTCAAAAATATATGACTTAATGCCAAGGCTTGTGCTTTTGGAAGTCTACCTACCTCTAGAATGAAGTTCCTCTAATAAACTGGACCATTCCTGTCGGAACAGGTTAGCACCAGTTAAACTACCATCTCCACCAATTACCACCAGGTTAGTGATGTTATTTTTAATAAGATTATGGGCTGCTTTAACACGACCCTCTCTTTCTCGAAAATCTTTACATCTAGCACTACCAATTACCGTACCTCCCTAAAAAATACACAATTTTCATAATGCTCTCTGAATCTTCACAATTTTAAGTTATTACGAACTTCATATACCTTGACTGCAATAGCACTTTTCTTGTGTCTTCACAATGTCAAGCTATTACGAACTTCATACTTATACCTTGACTACAATGGCCACCTTTCTTGTCTCTTCACAATGTCAAGCTATTACTAACTTCATACTTATACCTTGACTACAATAGTCACCTTTCTTGTATCTTCACAATGTCAAGTTATTACAAACTTCATACTTATACCTTGAAATAGCCATATTTCTTGTATCTTCATAATGTCAAGCTATTACGAACTTCGTCTTATACCTTGACTACAATAGCCACCTTTCTTGTATCTTCACAATGTCAAGCTATTATGAACTGCGTGTTATACCTTGACTACAATAGCCACTTAACTATAGCAAAAGCTCTTAAGGTGCGGGCACACAGAGATTTTTGTCACAAATTAGAGTCTTGTCTTGAGTTTCAACGACTGATACGGGCACACGAGGAGAAAAAAATCTCCAGTTGGTCATTTCAACCTTGTAGATAATCACGTGCGGATCATGCAATTGAAAGGAAAATGAATCTGATTGGATGATGACGGTCTGTCTTGCAGACGATAAAACTATCAGAGACAATTATCAAACTTGTTTAATATTATAAATCCTGTCGGTGACACGATAATCTTGTTGTTGAAGCATGAGCACACGCGAGATTTTACTCAAGATTTGAGTCAGCGACAAATATCTCTGACCAAGACCAGTCGTGTGCCTGCAACTTTAGAGATCATTAGCCGCTTATGCTATAGTGATGTCATATAAAATTGTTTCAAAGTTGAAACACCAACCAAAACGAGTGAAACAAAAACTTTGAAATATAATTGAATTGGGACAAAATACCATCCCATCATGCCTACGGAGTATAAAAATGACCTACCAATTGCATGATGCCGGAAACACTAGACCAGTGAGCCAGTTGAATATTGTTACCTCCATCTACCATTCCTTGATAGCCCTGAAATTATATAGAAATATACAGATAGGTAACACAGGTAATGTACAGTTTTGAGGACAGACTGTAGTTCAGTCGGTTAGAATGTTGAGATCTTGATGTCATTTTTGGTTGACCATTTACTGATTTAGGGTTTTCGTCTGGGTGACAAATAAGGATCCTTTCTACCAGCTGATCCTTGACCAAACCTCTTGGCATTGATCTTTCCCAGATTATCTGTACCCATTTACAGCTGGGTTGACTGGAATAATGAGGATCCTTTCTACCAGCTGGTTCTTGACCAAACCTCTTGACATTGGTCTTTCCCAGATTATCAGTACCCATTTACAGCTGAGTCGACTGGATAATGGGGAAAGATGACTTATTCAAGGTTACATGCAGAATGAGTGTGCCAGTGCATTACAAGAAGCCATGCAGTAAGCAATGAGGAAAATGTAGTCATGAAAAGCACTACTTCAATAATAGTCCTTATCTAATAAATTGTAGGAGAACCTCATGTCAAATTTTCATTTTATAAATTGAGCTCTAGCGTTTTATATATTGAAAAAAGTATACACCCTTCAAAAAAATGGAAGAGCTCAGAATTAAGGTGGCATGGGTTCAAATCCTCTTCAAAATTACAAAAAATCAGATGCTGATGCCTCGGCCAGAGCTTTAAAGAGTTTCCATTGTCAACTTTCAAATTTTCCCACTAAAGGTTTGTTGGTTTGTTAAACTTACCCACCTGTCAAAATTTCAACTTGATGTCAATTCAATGTCAATCAAATTGATGTGTTTTTCATATTCTGAATTATTTTGCATGTTTTTAAATCAAAAACTTTATCAATGTCATTGAATGCATGACTATTTATAGGCATTAAACTAGAGCGAATGAATGAAGCAGGAATGAATGAATGAATGAATGAATGAATGAAGGAACACAGGACAAATGTCAGTTTGAATGATTGAATGAACAAAGCAGGAATAAATGAATGAAAGAATGAATCAGAAATGGATGAATGAGTGATCAATTGAACAGATGAATGAATGAATAGATGAATGAATAGATGACTGACTGATCAAACAACTGAATAATGAGTGAAGCAGGAATGAATGAATGAATAGATGAATGAGTGAATGAATGAATGAATGAATAGATGAATGAATGAATATATGAATGAATGAATGATCAAACAAATGAATGAATAGATGAATGAATAGATGAGTGAATGAATGATCAAACAAATGAATGAATGATCAAACAAATGAATGAATAAATGAATGAATGATCAAACAAATGAATGAATGATCAAACAAATGAATAGATGAATGAACAAAAGCAGGAAAGAATGAATGAATGAATGATCTCACCTCTTTAATGAAATAAACACTACAGCCTAGATATTTTCCCATTCTGACCACAGCTCTAACAGCTGAATTCATACCTGAAAGGATATATTAATCTTACATCAAAAATCAAATGGAAAATTTGCCAAGGAGATATCATGTTCCTTAAGCAACATTATCAACTAATGTCTGTCTCTATTCCAACCTCTGAAAGCGATTTTGAAAGTTGTCGACTGGTGTAGAGACAGAAAAACTAGGCTCTGTTTTATGGTAATGCGAAGGTGATGGGATATTAAAACTATTGATTGTCAGCGACTGGAAATGAAATGAATGGAGTTTTACGTCCTACTTTTCTGCACCATGTGGGCTAATGAAGACCGTCAACACCATGCAGTGTACAATGAGGGAAATCTAGCCTGCCCTTTTTTATATTTCCAACTGTCGAGGGATCTTTAACGTGCACAGCCTGTAGCACACAGGGCCTTGGTTTATTGTCCCATCTGAACGACTAAACACTTTTTCCAGACCCCCTCACCTGACAGGGGGAAACCTGAGGGTATTATCTCGACCTATGCCAGGATTGAACCCTGAACCTTCAGGTTAGCGAACAAGCGTCTAACTCACTGAGCCACCATGACTCCCTATCAGTGGCTGGAGTAGAGATAGATGTCTGAGATTAATATATATTAAGACTGGGGTAGAATCATAAGAAGTAAGTTATATAATACATGTATTACTATCAGATGTGTACATTTTATCAAGTAGCTGTCTAAGGCATTAAGGACTTTTCCTTCTACTAGCAGAGGACAATGTAGATACTTGGTGCTGAATTAAGCTTAGATCATTTTTTTTTTGCATGGAACCAGTGGCAGTACCATAAATTATGCCTTTTTGGGCTTTATCAATGACGAATGTGTCCCTGCGAGTCAGCAAGTTAAAGTCATTACCAGTAACCAGGATAGTCTATTGAAGCCTCTGATAGATATTTTGATAGATGTCAGCTGGAGAAGAGTCAGAAGAAAAAGACCCTGTTAAAAAGGGGATTTTTTTTTTTTTTATGAACAATATTTATTTAGTCATTAGGATTGGGGAACAGGCTTGCGAGTATAGTACCCTCTCCTTGGGGATTTTCCACACCTCTGGAGATGGGTTTTCTCTAACATAATATTGAATTATCTTTAAGATGATTATAAATTAGTGTTGGGCATCACCGTAACTTTCGTTTTGTTAGTATCACAGTCACAGTCACGTGACTAGGTGACCTTCGAACTTTTGGCACTCGGTTTCAAATACCCAATGTGAGATCAGTTTAATGGAATCGGAGACATGACATAAATGGTGTAGGAAGAAAATGATGGTATGACTGAACTACAAAAATATCAATCTTCCAAATATATCTTGGTTTTACAGATGCAAGGTATCTAAATAGGTTTTAAACCTGCGGACATGCGCAATAATCCCATTTAACAGGGCCTATTTTTTCTGTCTCTACAACAGCTGACATCTGTCTAAATGGCTAGCAGGGCTGGAATAGAGACTAATGTTTCGGTCTATAACCAGGCCTAAGGCAACAAGGCACTTAAGCCAAGCTGAAGTCAGAAAAAGCCTAAGCCAGAAAAAGCCTAAGCCAGAATGACATAAGTTTACACATTTTGAATCTATTTAACTTAATAATGGAGCATATCATTGTCGACAACTTTTTTCAAACTCTTTGAAATTCGTTATGGCCAACAAGAGAGACACAGGTTAATCAAATTACCATAACTGTTTAATAGAACGTCTAAAAATAGAACATGCATACAAAATGTCAAATGCAGAAATTACCTTGAGAATCGCCTCCACTTGTGAATACACCAATGGCTTTTCCTTTGCAACTATTCGCTTCTACCCGCTGTCCTT